GATGAAAGGAAGCAAAGACATTGGGGAGAAGGAATGAAAATGATTCCAAGACAACACCATCCTTTCAAATCACCACCTTGACACTTGTGCACATTAGCTGTCTCCTCCTCCCTCTGAAAAAATAAAAGTCATACTTGTAAACATGTATGAAGTGCTAGTACTTTCATGCACTTAAAAATTGTGAAGTAATCTAAACTTCAATTAATACTGATACACTTTCATACAATTCCATTCCTCTCACTACCAGGGCAGTGAATGAAAAAATAAAGGATGTATGATAACATTTGTGTAATATACACCACCCACGTAACAAGGGTAGGAGTGAAGTGGTAAAATGTCCCATTCACAGGAATCCACTTCACTCCTGACAACACTGGTTTTCTGCAAACAATATTGTACAGGGTATTTTAGCACTTTCAGTGCAGTGCAGCCAAAAAACTGGCTGTGTCTACTACTGACAAAAATGCTGTCGGCTGATTTTCATACCATCTAACAAGAAATACCCCAACTAAATGAAGGAAGAAACTTAGAAAAACAGCTGTGGCCAAAATATCAGCCTTTTGACAGGAGGAGTACATGAGGCCGAAAAATTTGTCCATGGCACATAAATTGTTAAATATTGCTCTCTTGATTGTACCCTTACATGGGGGTCAATCAGTTCTGGAGCTTCCAGCAACAGCTGTGGATTGGGAGCTGTCATCCACATAGATTTGCCCAGCTTTCAAGTTGGCAACCCATGAAGCTAACTGTGTGAACAAATATGGACATTAGCTCTGAATGCTTCCTGTATCATTTTGTTAAAGTTAAGCATCAGTTTGTACAGCAAGATGAGAAATTATGATTGTAAATGGATTCTTGGAATGGTATACAATATGTTATGACCTTCCATGAGGATCGTTCTATTTGTGGACTCAAACACATGGGGGAAGGGGGGGGGGGGACTCCTGTCCTTGCCTATTCCTGTCAGTGAATTAAATGAACAGCTCAAGTGCTTCCTTTCAGACTTCATGCTATTTCTGAAGCTCTCAAGAGAATATTGATAGAACTTAATGTGAATTGAAAAAAAGATAAAGGAACAGTGGAATTCTGACACAATGTAAAAGCTGAGAGAAACTTTTATTTGTTTGTGCTAAACACCTTCCTTATATACTACAGAACAAAAGTAATGAGACCATATTTTGTTTGGTCATCATTTCTTCCAACAGAAATCAACAACATTGAATTGTATATTGTTGATTGGTGCCTGAACAAAAAAAAACTGCTGTGTGTTCCCAGACAGAATGATAAGACTCTGACTTTCAACCTACAAAATGTGGGTGCTGCAGGGGATGCAAATGAAGGGTCAATTGCTGGACTCAGAAAAAGAACTTTAAAAAGCCTCATATCCTCTTTGAATATTTTCTAAATCTCAAGTTATGCAGAACTTGAAAACATTGCAAGGAGGTACTCTGGCTTGACCCTAAAAATTTTACTGTAGCTAAGTGCAACGTGGAAAGAACATATAGAAGTTCTTCAATGGTACTGACTTCAATGGCCTCAATAAGCTGGAGGAATAGTGAAGGGAGGAAAAATAGTCTTGTTACATTGGTAAAGGTTTTGCAAAAATCAAATATGATATTGTGCTGCTCAAATCTTCTAATTCCAAAAGCAGGAACCTTGTACTGCATGAATTCATTTTATATAAATCAAAGCATGCCTCACTAGATTGTGATGAGGCAAAACAAATACTACATGAACTTATTTGGGGAGAAAAAATTTCTAAAATGAATGAAAAGAAAGTGAATTTCTAAAATAAATGTGTACCATTTAAAAAATTATACAACCTTTAACTTCGACAACAGGAAGTTCTAGCATTTCTAAGCCTTCTTAACCATTAACCTTGTTGGAGGGTAAGCTGAACTTTCAACAGACCTTGGCTTAAGAGAATAAAAGGCTTACCTCGCTTGAGGGAAGAAGAAGAAGAACTGGAGGCGAGAAGTTTCTTTTGTTGCTGTGCCTTCAAGGCCTGGACCTCGAGTTCAGAGAGGGGACGGATGGGCTGACCCCCTCGGATTCCAGGAGGCATTCCGACTCCTCCCATGAAACCTCCAGATATTGCCGGGTGGTGCCCTGCCCGAATTGGCTTGGCTGCAACCCCACAACATCATGGATTCCATCAAACCATGTATACAACATAATAAAAAGGACAACAAGAAGGTCATTCAGAAAGACATGTTCTATATATCAGTTGACAATCAAAAGTCAAACACAAGGTATAAATCTATAAAAAGCACTCCCATCTATATATCAGTTGACAATCAAAAGTCAAACACAAGGTATAGATCTATAAAAAGCACTCCCATCAATCTCCTGGCTATTTAATTTCTATTCTGGCAGAGTATGAGCATCCGTGATGCTCAGGAGATGAAATAAATAATTCCGGCTTCTGAAATTCTTTTTCTGAGAATGAGGAGAAGCAGTTCAGGTTATTACTTCAGGTTTCTCCTGTGAAATTATACCACATTTAAGACTTTCTCTTTGGTATGTTGTCAGTTACTAAATGGAGAATTGGTTTCCATGCTTTTCACTGTTATCTAGTTAAATCATAGTTTGGGACAAGAGCCTAAAAAGTGGCATATACTTTGTGTGATAATATGCATCCATATTGCTCCTTGCTAGTGCAAAAACCACCCTGACTGAACACTACCCACTTTCCAATGGGTGATAGTTGATGGGATGAAGGTAAGGATTGAAGTGAAACAGTTAACACAAACAGACCGGAAAAATACCCAAGATTTTATCCAAATGATAAGGTCACCATATCTCAGAAAAGAAATATGAGAAAGGCCACCAGAGTTCAATGGAAAAAAAAAAAAATTATGGTTAGGTAAAGAAAAAGCCAAAAGCACAGGGTGGGGCAAAAGTAGGCATACAGAAGAAATTTTATTTAATTTTTATATTAAGATGTAGAGGATAATGCCAAGGAACCTGACTTTTGAGTGACAAAAAAGGCTGTTACAGAGGTACTGGAAAAGTAACAAACAAAAGATAATAAAATTAATAACTATAAAGTAAAAGTAAGTAATAAGGAAGTAACAGCTAACTGTACACCTACTTTTGCACCATCCTGTATATCCTTACTGCCGTTCTTGGACAAATGAAAAGTTTACAGCTGTGCTTACTGGTCTGCTTCTCTCTCCTTAGGTACATAATGAAATTTTGCCTTTAAGCACAATGCAAGGTCTGTACAGTGAAATAGATCCACTTCCTGCTTCTGTTTTTCTTGACAACCACAAGCCAGATGGATATAACAAGAATCCAGATTGAAGAAATAAATCAACACTGGAGATGAAAGTAGCTGAAGCAAATGAGCAATCTGAGGGGGAGAAACGGACCTATTTGGGCAGCATGACCACGTCGGGCGAGATTCTTTTGTCGCACTGCTTCCTTGATGCGGTCCACCTCAAACTGATATCGCTTGCGGTCTCGCATAGCACTCTCCTTGGCTTCCTTGAGCGCACCTTCCAGAGCCTTCACACGCTCCATCGTAGCCCTCAGCCTCTTTTCCAGCTTGGGCAATTCGCAGCGTAGATCTGCATTGTCACGAACCAGTTGCTTGTGGACCTTGGTCAGCTGATCGAGGTTGTTCTCCAAGAAGCTGATCTTCTGTTTTTGAGCCAGTGATCCTCCTTCCTCCACTTCCTCTCCTGCTGCACTCTGAGACAGAAGAAAGGACAGACA